ACCAAAGAAAACCCATGCCAAAAAAACCAAAAAAAAAAAAAAAAAAAAAAAAAAAAGAAAAGAAAAGAAAAAAGTTTCCAAAAACAGTTTGTCATAGGTTTGTCCTTGCCCATAAGGCCAGTGCATTGTCGTTAGTAACCAATACTGTGGCACTGCACTTCAACATTTCAGTTACATTATTGCTTTCAGTCTGATCCCTTTCTTATCTAGCCTAATTTCTTTGCCATCTCAGGGCCAACAACCTGTGCAGATATTTTGTAGCAGTTCACTATAATGTTCTAGTACTTGGAGACCAGACTGTTGTCATGCAGTAAAATCTTAGGCCTGGCTAACTGGGTACAATGATAACGAAGAAATATCATTAAATAAGTCTGCAAAGAACACTTTTCGTTGCCAAAACCATCATCTGTATGATGACTAGCTTAGTTGTAATAAGAAATGTGACCAAAAGTACTTAGTGAAAATGATCGATGCTTTTCCATTCTTTGTGCACCATGATCTTGAGGGAACATGCAGTAAAAGAAGAAAGAATGTATGTCATTTACACAGGTATTGCAGCCATGTACCCATAAGCCTAGCACAAGGACATTTTATTCACACCTAAGAGTTATCCTGGAAATAGGGCACTTTCCTTGCCCTCTACTGGTTGAATTAAGCTGGTCTCAGGATGCTAGGATAATCTTCCTGTTCCTTTCCCCTCTGGAATTTGAGGGGTACTGCTCCAGGATTTTCTGAGTAGCCTCATAGTAGATCTTTGGAGAGGGTCTGGGTGAGATTTAGGGTGAAAGCAGCCATTTCCATGCATCAGAGCCACTAGTAAACTGTACATTAGGAAGGCTTGTGGACAGGAAGTGAGATTATCCTGTCTCTGTGTCTGGATGCAAATGGACTTTCACATTTAGCAGTAACTGTCCTAGCCTTTTACCTTCCTTCTCAAACTCAAGACATTCCCTGAGCTTTTCCTTGGTCTGTAGCCTTCCTGGGAAAGTATAACTTTGTCACTAAGACCTTAGGTCTATCTGAAGTCAAATACTAGTACACTTAATTTCCATTTTCTGGTACAAAACGTTAATCCTGGTATAGCGGGCCCTCTGTCTGCAGGTTCTGTGTCCCTTGATTAAAATCAAGATCCAGAATATTTGGAATATGTGTATATGTATGTATTCAACTCATGCAGACTTTGTATTGTCATTATCCAGTATAACAACTTTCATATAGCATTTACATTACAGTATGCATAATTGAAAGATGGTTTAATGTATACAGTAGGTTATGTGCAACTACTGTAGATTTGACCCCTTATGGCTTGAGGGACAAAGGATCAAATCATGGGGACAATCTTCCAAAAATACCTGTCAGTAACAGGATTATCATTGAAGTTATAGACAAATTTGCAATAATAATTGCTTTAAAGTACATGTTCAAATTAATTATTTTTTACTATTTCCTCTGCCCTTCTCAAGCTGACTCGATTTATGAATTTTGCATCAAGAAAAATGGGCAGGAAATTGAATTGCTATGAAGTAGACTTGGGTGTGTGTGTTTCCAATCCAAAAATTGCTGTTTTCTTTAGTTTCCGGGCTCATAAGCTTAACCACTAATGGGTAGGAAGAATGAGGCACAGTAATGATCTTTATTTTAAAGTCACTAAAAGCATCTCCAGTGTATCAAGTATTTACCTAGCATTCATGGGACTCCAACTTCAATTCCTGTAGTCACTAAAAATATCTCTAATGTATGGAATGCTTACCTAGCATTCATGGGACCCTGGCTTCAATTCCTAGTGGGATTAAAACATAATTATTTGAATTCTGATGTGCTTTCTTTCTGGTAGCCACAAACATAACAATGGTCAGCCTATCTGGTTCACCCTGGGCATCCTGGAGGCTCTCAAAGGCTGGGACCAAGGCTTGAAGGGGATGTGTGTGGGAGAGAAGAGAAAGCTCATCATTCCTCCTGCCTTGGGCTATGGCAAAGAAGGAAAAGGTAAAATTGTGTAACCATCACTGCTGAGCATCTCAACGTTTCCTCCCCCTCAAAGGGAAAACCACCAACTCACTTTAACAATGCAGCAAGAAAGGCCATCCAGCAAAAGTGTCTTGATGATTTGAACATTTGGAATATACATCATTGGATACAATTTGATGTGTGGAGATACATATATCTTATAGCCAGGAAGTCTTCCACACTGTAGATCTGTAGATTCTTGCTTTTAGATGTATTTGTAAAGTTTTCAATAGCTTATTTTAATTTTACTTATTTATTTTTCTATTTTCAAGACAGGATTTCTCTGTTAGCCCTGGCTGTCCTGGAACTTGATCTGTAATCCAGGCTAGACTTCTAACTCAGAGATCTGCCTGATTCTACCTTGTGGGTGCTGGGATTAAATGTGTGTGCCACCACTGCCCAGCTCAATAGTTTATTTTAGGATAATGTATTAAGTTGTATTAAAAATAATTCCATTTGTGTTGCAAGCTGGTTGGCTGGTCCACGCAGATTTTTTTTTTGGGGGGGGGTCGTTTGGAGACAGGGTTTCTCTGTGTAGCTGTGGAGCCTATCCTGGCACTTGCTCTGTAGACCAGGCTGGCCTCGAACTCACAGAGATCCACCTGCCTCTGCCTCCCAAGTGCTGGGACTAAAGGTGTGCGCCACCAATGCCTGGCTTCCACACAGATTTTATGCCAGTTTGTTCCAAGGCACAGATACACCTGGTAGTTAAGCTGAGTTCACATGGCTCTCCAAGGGCTATTTGATGCTTATCAGCTGGCCCCAGATACAGCCTCTTCACTGAAATCTTCTCTGAGCCAATGGCCAGATCTGGAGATTGGTTAGTGAACCAGTATGACTATCACTGTGTTGTTTCTTATATTAAAACAATTGGCACCAACCCGAGTGTGTTATCAGGGATTAGCAAAATAAAAATTATATATGAAATGTGTGTGATGTAAAAGTAGCAAATAGATTTTCTGTATGTCTAGCTTTCCCCATGAGTAAAAGGGGGGTTATATGAGCATTGAAAGTGTATCACAATAAAAAAAAATTCAGTGTACTGTGATTCTGAGAATTATATATATTTCTGATTCTATCTTTCAAATTCTTTAGGAAGAAAAGTGTAGTATTTATACAGTGAAGAAAAAAATTGTAAGAAGCTATCAGAAGCAGATGGAGAGTTGCTATGATGTGGTTTGGATAGCTTTCACACCATTCTTCAGCAAGCATAGCCATTGACAAAGTAGGGGTTAAGATTCCTTGCCCTAAGGAGGTTAAGTGCTGTATATGAATATGATGTACTCCAAAGTAGGACTAGCTATCTAAGCCATGTTCTACGGGCTTGGTTATTAGCCAAATCCAATTCTAATTATATCCTTTACAGAAAGTAATCCAGTATCTAGGAAAGGTTTCTCTAATGCCCACATGTAATCTTTCTTTCCCATGTCTTTGTTCTTTTACTGTTAACTTTATGTGTGCAGTGAGGTAGTAGTTGTCCATGACATATTTAACTAAGCTTTATTTCATAGCATGCAGAGTCATTTCCTTCAGTGTCATGAAACTAATTCTTCTAATATGTATTTGCCACTAGTTTTGTAGTGTTTAGTGCACGCTTGCATGCCTCCTTGGAAAGACCAGCTTTCCCACCAACCTAGTGCATGTCCCTTTCCTGTCTCCATCACAACGGTAAGCTTTGCCTCGTGCTGTGAGTGTTGTCCTCTTAGAAACTTACTACTGCCCTTTCATGGAACTTTGAGGAATTGGGGGACATAGCTAAGACTTGTTTAATGAATGTGTCCAGACTTTTTATTAAACAGAGCTTTAAGAAAGCAAGTTTGGAAAAAAATTGCGCAAAATTCCAAGAAGGGTTTGTTTCTTTGATTATTAGTTGGGCTTTTTTGTTTGTACCCTGAGATTTTAACAAAGTTTTCTTCTTTTTCTTACTCTCGAAGATTTGTTAGTTTCCTTTACAGGAGTTCATCTAGATTTTCCTTTCTTGATGAAACGTCCTCAACAAATGCTTGAGTTCTATATCAGGGAGGTATTTCCTAAGTTGAAAATTTTCAGTGCTCCCTTATTATGTTTAAGACCCATAAGAAAATTGTATCAGGCACTTACTATTTATCAAGAATAACACTGAGGGTTTTATTTTTGCACGTGTTTTCCGCCTTTATCCTTCTCATGCACTCCTAAGTTAGAAAATGTTATTTATCTCATTTTGCGGACAAGGAAGGAATTGATGCCCAGAGGTGGCAGAAGTGAACAGAGCTCCCATTAGTAGACACTGCCTCCCGGTGGCAGTAGACACTGCCTCCCAGTGGCGGTAGACACTGCCTCCCGGTGGCGGTAGACACAGCAGCACCAACCCGATGTACTTGAAGGTCAAGACTTTATCATCTAAATTAGTAAATCTCTTGTAGTATAATTAAGTCTGAATTACTCAAAGCCCTTTAAAAGTCATTCTTGACATGTAACATGAAGGGCTTTAATTGTACTTGAAATTTAGCATCGAGACTTTTAGGAATATCTGCATATGTGCATGTGTTTTATTGCTACTCCAAACTAGAGTGCTTTTGTTCTGCCAGCTTGGGTTATTCCTTCTTCTGGTCTACCTTTCCTTCCTGGGTAAAATGTAATTATAGAATAAGTGATTTCCACCATCTGTGACAGTCATAGAGTGTCTGTTCACTTAATGTAGTTAAAATGTCTGTTACCATAATTGATTTTGTTATGAATACTTACAGATCTTCTAAATAAAAATTTCCCTATCTCTCCATATCAGGCAAAATCCCCCCAGAGAGCACACTGATATTCAACATTGACCTTCTGGAGATTCGAAATGGCCCAAGGTCCCATGAATCATTTCAAGAAATGGACCTGAATGACGACTGGAAACTCTCTAAACATGAGGTGACCCTACCCCTCTGCCTCTATGCTGTTTTTCTTGTACTTTTTTTCAAAGCTCACCTTTCCAGAAATACATTAGCTGCTAGGAGAAGGAAAATCAGTTTTCTTCAATGGAGTGACACTGGGTATGTTAGCCACACTCCAGGGCAGGACCCATGTCCAAGAGTAGTGGCCAACACAAATTGGACTCCATGTTTTTTAGTGACTTTTTTCTTTTTAAGAGAGAGAAGGAACATGAAATTGGTGGAGGGGGAATCTAAGAGGAGTTGGGGGGTTGGAAAAATATGATAAAATATACTATATAAATTCTTATAGAATAAATAATAATAAGGAAAATTAATTTTTATTTTGATAAAATACCATTCACAGCTTTTCCTAAAGTGCCTGGAAAGTTGCCTTTTTCATAGGAACCATTGCTTAGGGGAGAGCTGTGTTGACTGAGAAAGTGTGTCAGTCTCTTGCTGCTTCCTTCTTCACCTAGGCTTAGTGTTGACTCTGTTTCAGCTTCCCCCATGGAGGAAAAAGCTTCAATTTTTTCATGACTGTATGTATGAGAAACACATAAGTTTCTCATGTGGACAGTTTCTGTTCAAGGTGGCAGACTGTGCTGGCTGTGTTTCATAGTTCTCTCCAAGAAGCAGTTTACATGACCCAGTTGTTGAAGTTAGTTCCTGGAGGAGGGACTTTCTGGATTTTCCTCAAAGGGACCTCCCTCAGCCATCTGAATTCCTAACATTTGGGGTGGGAGGAGGAAGAAGGGTTTCTCTGCATCTCATGCCTCCACAGCCATCACTGGCTTTTGTAGAGAAAGAAGTGGAGGCAGACCCATGGCCTGCGGTTCTTACCTACTACAGCCCTCAGTCTGGCATGTCCAGGTGATGCTCAGTCATTTTTAATGTTTTGGTGAGTTTCACTCTAAGAGCTAGGAAATGATGGTGTCTCAGGCAAAATTGTTGGGAACAAGGGATCTTTATGGACACTAGTGAGTTTGTGTCTGTGTGGTCTTGTTGTGTTGTGTGTTGTTTTGATTGAGACAGGAGCTCCCTGTGTTCAGGCATGTCTTGATTTGGTGAACCTTCTGCCTCAGCTTCCCAAGCACTGGGATGTAGAGCCCATGTCACCGGGTTTCATATATTGTGGTGTTAACAGTTATATACCTCACCCATATCCAAGATAAACTGTAATTCTCTCGCTAAAAACATTATGTAACATATTCTTGTGATGTAAAACAATCAACTGATATAAATGAATATATGTTAGAAGTCAGGTTGGGCATGTAACTCAGTTGGTGGAGCACTGGCATAGAATGTGCAAGGCTCTGAGGTCAGTTCTCAGCACCTCAGAAAACAAACAAACAAATGTTCATTGTGTCCATGGCATCTTCATCCTTCACAGGGCTCCTCCGCCCCATCCACGTTTATTAGTTTCTAATGTATTTTTCTGGTGTCTAGGCAAATATTTATTATTAGTTTACTTTTCTTACACAAAGGCAGGAAAATAATACTTACTTTATAGTAGTTTCTTTTAGTCACAGAACATATCCTGAGATGGAGTCTACATTAATCCCTAAAATAACTTCTGTTTCCTCCTCCTTGCTCCCTTTCCCTCCCCTGGCCCTCTCCTCCTTACATTCATTCCAACTGCATTACATCTCTTTACCTTAAATAGTGTGTGTTTACATGTCAGAGTTTGTGAACGGAGGGAGGACTGAGGTCGCTGGTCCAAACTGGTAAACTGAGGATGTGATGACAAATGATGATACAGGTTGGGTTGCATTTTAACGATTCATGGGGATCACATGCAGCATTTTTGTGATACATATATGTATGTGTGTATGTATGTATGTATGTATGTATGTATGTATGTATGTATGTATAGTGTGTGTGTAGTTTGTATATATGATGCAGCCTGTAAGTGTTCCGTGTATACACCCATGAGTGTACATACACAGGCCAGAAGAGCAGAACATTGGGTGTTTTTCTTCTTACCTTGAGATTCTTATTGAACCTTTAGCTAGGCTGTCTGGCTAGCAAGCTTTTGAGATCTCCCTTTTCCTGTCCACAAAACTGAAGTTACAGGCACATGTACTTTCTATTGTGCTGGGGATTTGAACTTGGGCCCTCACACTTACACAGCATATGTTCTTATCCACTGAGACATCTCCCCAGTCCTTGATTGTTTTTAAAGACAATAGAAAATTATAGCATAGGCACTCATAAGACCATGCTCTGATTTTCAAGTTTACAGAGTCCTGATTAGACTCTGCTGGTGTGACATGGTCATAGCCAGGTACACAGTTTTTCTACTCTTAACCATGGGTTCATGGTTCGTAGCCGTGAAAAGGGAGAATATAATTTTACCTTAGGAGGAATGTCTGGAATTCTGACTCTTCCTAGAAAGAAAGCCCGATGAAACCAGTGTATCCAAAGGCAGCCATCCTTCAGGCATGCTGCACAGCTTTGTTTGGATTCTGGCAGGAGCAGGCAGTATGCACTGTTGACCCCAGCTGGCCAAGGAACACAGCTACAGGACGGTTTGTCCCAGTGGCCACTCTGTAGGCCACGCTGCCGTTTGTGCTCTCTTTGTTACTAAATCCCTCAGAGAAAACCCTGTTCCTTGGCAGCAACTTTTGACAAAGCTCTGGTTATTTTGCAGTGAATTTTGGAGAAAGGTCTATTGAAGGAAAGCCAGAAATACTTACAAGCTCTCTGGGGAGAATACTGGAAGTTACAAAATATTTTTTACAACTGTTATACAAGCATTAGGTGAACTTAAGACAAGCTCTTGTCACCACTTGACTTGTTGCAAGAGGTTCTATGACAGGGTCAGAAAAGCATAGGTTTGTGGCACCCATACACATGTTTTGGGGATCCAAAAGTAGAGAAATTTGGAGAAGTCTCAAATGGACATGGCTTTCAAAATAAATTTCCCTATAGTCCGAGTCATGTATTAGCATGTGAATTAAGCTGGTTAGAATGGATACATTGTCTTCACTGTGCCTGCTTCTTACAGAGCTTTGATCCAGTGTGTGGCTTGAGCCCGGTGCGACCTTGTGCCCTGTAGATCTGCCCGTGCCTGCATGTAGCCCATTCAGACAGTGGTCTGCTGAGCTTTCTGCAGATGAGCACATTTTAGAAACTGGAACCAAATGAGCAGCAGGAAGATTTGATGAGAGAAGAGGTTCGAGAGGGGAGGGAGGAATTATAGGGAGTGACTTCTGAGGTGAACCACTTAGAAATAAACCCCTGGACAGACCCAGACAGAACACAGATGTAAAAGAAAAGTTGCTTCTGTCAAGTATGTCTTTTTTCCTAAAAACAGATTTTTCTTTACCTGATTTGATTCTAGCACATAATTATTTCAAACCTTTTGATTGTAAAAGCTTAATTTGTTTTGTGTTGTTGTTTTTGAGAAAGGGTTTCTCTATGTAGCTAGCCCTGGCTGGCCTAAACTTACTGTGTAGACCCGACTGGCTTTGAATTCAGAGATCTGTCTGCTTTTTCTGGCATCAAATGCATACACTATCATGCCTGGCAGTATAGTATTTCTTATTACACACTTATTTCTTAGTTTCAGCAAAGTGAATTATAGCAGTCAAGTAAGCTAAGAAACATATAGCATAATTTGTTTCAAGTTTTCTTTAGTTATTGAGAGTCCAAAAAATACATAAAAAGCTATCAGTTCATAAGAATGTCCCTCTTGGGATGGAGAGATGTCTCAGTGATTAAGAGCACTGGCTGCTCTTCCAGAGAACCAAGATTCAATTCCCAGCACCCACATGGCTCCCAAATGTCTTTAACTTCAACTCCAGCTGATCCAATGCCCAGTGGCCTCTTTTGACCTCTTAGGGCACCAGACACACATGGTGCACATACAAACATGCAGGGAAGTACTCATAAAATAAAAATAAATATTAAAAATTCCTCTTCTATAAGTTAAACTTAAAAAGAACATTTTAAAAAATCAAATCTCACAAACTTCTGGAAGATTTTATGATGTTAATAATGCCTTTTTTTTAGACCAGGCTGGTCTCGAACTCACAGAGATCCGCCTACCTCTGCCTCCCGAGTGCTGGGATTAAAGGCATGCTCGACCAACGCCCGATACTAATAATGTCTTTAAAGTGTATTTTATTCAGCAGTTTTAGTATAATGCTATGAAAATACTAGCCAAACCTAGCAAACAATACAATATATATGGCATATTTAAACAGTTAAAAAGTTATTTTTTGTCAACACTTTGAAATGCTGCCCTTGCTGGGCATTGGTGCTACACACCTTTAATCCCAGTACTCAAGAGGCAGAGGCAGGTGGATCTCTGTGAGTTTGAGACCAGCCTGGTCTACAGAGTGAGTTCCAGGACAGCCTCCAAAACAATACAGAGAAACCCTGTCTCAAAAAAGCAAAACAAAGCAAAACAAAATGCTACCCTAACATTTTTTTGAACCCTACATTTTCATTTTCAATTAAATCAGTATAACAACTCAAAACCAAAATTGAATAAAACAGAAGTTAAACTTGAAATGTCATAAGTCTCAATGTCCCATTTCCCTTACTGTCACCCTTAGTTATTCTTCAGTGAGTGGATGAGTACAGTTGCTGTAGGCATCTGGAGGCAAGCAGATCAGTCAAGCTTGTTGGCTACCATTCTTGATTCTCTTGAGAATATGAGACTTCACACAGAATGCTTTGTCAGTAGGACTTTACTCTGTGGAGTTAATAAATACACCATCTCACACTTGAAGAATAGTAATAAATGTAATTCAGAGAATATTGGTATATAACCCAGGAATTAAAAATGCTTATAGTAAGAGACGAGGAGATAGCCATTCAAGCATGATGACTTGAGTTCCAGACCCAGAAGCCAAGGTGGGGAAAAAGTTGGATGTGGAAGTGTGTACGTGTAATCTCAGAGCTGGCAGGTGGAGACCAGCAGGTCCCTGGAGATTTCTAGCCTGTCCAAATGGCCTACTCTGCAGTTCCAGGTGAGAGACCATGTCTCAGAAAACAAGACTCCGAGAAGCGATACCCGAGACTGACTTCTGGCATCCATATACAAGCATACACACGTGCATACAACTCCACACGAACGTGCAAATACACCTGACAACTTATACAAATTTAAATGAGCTGTTAAGTAAACATTCTTAAGTTAAATGTTGACTTCTTAATGTGAAACTATAAAAATGAAAGTGAATCCAGCTTTAAACAAGCAAACGGGCTGCTGAGATAGCTCCGTGCATTAAGTGTTTGCCATGCAATCATGAGGACCTGAGTTAGGATCGTTGGTACCATGTAAAAAGCAGAGCGTATAAGTGCATTCCTGCAGTCCTGGTGCTGGGGAGACAGAGACAGGGAGCTCCCTGGAACTTGTTAGCCAGCCAGGGTAGCAATCAGTGAGCTCCAGGTTCAGTGAGAGACCACATCTCAAGCAATGAGGGGTAAGAGAGTTGAAGGGACACACACACACACACACACACACACACACACACACACACACACACACACACACACACACACTTTTTAAAATGGCAAAAAGGCAGGTTATAGGTTTTAATAAAAACCTTACATTTGATACAATGATTATGTATATATGAGTATGTATGTATGTATGTATATATGTATGATATAAGCGTTATTTTCACTTCTGAAAACTATTTGGTGTCTCCATCATACCTGTAAAGCAAAGATTGTTTTAATTCCTGTAGGAATGGGCCACAGAGTTGTTTTGTACTTGCTCTATCATTGCAATGATGTAATGTGGATTATTAATGAGAGCTGTTATTTTGTAGGTTAAAGTGTACCTAAAGAAAGAGTTTGAGAAGCACGGTGCAGTAGTGAATGAGAGTCACCATGATGCTTTGGTGGAGGATATTTTTGATAAAGAAGATGAAGACAAAGATGGATTTATATCTGCTAGAGAATTTACATATGTGCATGACGAATTGTAGGGATGGGCCTGCCATTTTATATGCATCCATCTGGAAAGGGAAGACGGCGCCTTTAAAGAAAGTTGTAGTTTTTAATAACAGCATTCTGTTCTTGTTTTGTTTGCTTTTAGTTTTATATTATTTTACGTTATTTAAGAAGCCCCATAGACTTTGTAAATATCTGTATCTTTCTGGTAAGTTATTGGGAAGATACAGTCTCCTTTGAGTGCAAGATTTCTGGTCCATTTCCACATTCACACAAAGCTTGTTTGCTTGCTTCCTTCTAATGGTAACATATTGCAACGGGAAACATGCCACAAAATAAGAACAGGTTGTAGCAAAAATCAGCTCCCTATACTTCTGTCTTCTTCTGCTTCCTCTAAGTTAGATTACTGACATATTTGAAAGCTTTTACAATAGTCCAGGGCTTTCATGTTATAGTAAAGTAGTTTATTTATTTATTTTTTTAATCTGACTTTGAGTCTCTGCTTGAGGAAGCATATGGTGGGCCTCTTTCCTTCACAGTTATGGCCTTGCTGTGGAGATGTGCAATGCTGGATGAATAATGGAGGTAGCAACTCATGGATAGGTGTGCATTGAAACATTCTGCCAAGACTTCATTGTGGCTAATGGCCTGGTAAAATAAATCAGACAAATAATGTGTTGTTTCCTTGTAAACAATGCTTCAAAACATGGCAGAGAGTTGTATTTATAGTCAATGTTTACTTTTAAGGTTACCAATTAGCCTCCTGGTTCTTCAATGAATGAAGTTTACAGCTACTAAACTTTGCAATAACACTGAATCATGAGAGAAGTTAGTAAACCAACTAGACTTTTCCCATTTATGACTCATCAAAAATGAGGTCAGCCTATACCAACTATTACCAATGCTTATCCTGGGTTTGAAAATTGATGTTTATCTTTTTACTTCAAATTGACTTCTAAAAAGGATGACTAATTCTGTTTTTAAAATTGATTGTAATCAAATTGGCTGTTATGGTAAATACTTAAAATAGACTATCCAGATCTCCATTTGTTAGTAATAGTTTCTCATAATTTATAAAAGTGGTCAAGTGCATTGTTGTCAGGCTGTTGTGCTGACACCCATGGGAAGCCGCTGCATCTTATAGTACCTCTTTATGGATGAGAGGTGCTGTTTGCATGAGCCCAGTGCTGGTGGTTAAGCTGTAGAAGCATCTTCAGGCCCTGAGTTCACTTTTCCACTTTTCCTGCTGAGGAAGAAGCAGCGAGTTTGGGAGGGTGTTCTCATAGAATACTTTTCACATTTGCTCTGAATTGCCTTAGTCACCCTCCCAGTGAGAAGGGTCAAATATATGTCTTAGTTCACCCATTCCTGTTGCTTGTAGAAATTAGATTACTTCACTAGTTATGCATTGACACTTTCCTCACCAAAACAGCTTATCGGAAGAATATACTTTCAGGCCTGTTCCTGAAGACGTCAGGTATAGTCCCGAGAGGACAGTGGTGTCTTGAAGCTGATGCCACCATCTGTGCTGGAGCAAGAATCTTGATTATCCAATTGTATAGCTCTGCATCAGTCCTCAGCTAAACATTCCAACAAGTATGAAAGAAAGACAAATCTGTAATCATGGTTGTTTTAGCCATCTGCCTTTTTGTATAGCAATATCTTTGAACCCTCCCATGAGCGGGAATAATCAAACACCCAACTGTGACTTCATATGTATATGATTTGACTCAGAACTCTTCTATGTGTCATATTTACATTTCTATGTCTATTGTGATATTCTTTTTGATAATAAAGTTTATTTGGGAAATAACTGGCTTTGTAAAAAAATGTCTTGCATATATACACATGTGTGGTGTTTGTATGTGTTTGTGTATTCACCTATGTTGGGGTCACAGATGTTTGTGTAGGTGCAGGTGTCTTTCTGGATTTTCAACCTGCTACACGGAGGCAGGATCTCTCACTGAACTTGGAGCTCTTCATTTTGGCTTTCCAGCTTGCTCTGGAGTTCGTCTCATGCAGTGGGGTTACACCTGAGCCACTTTGCTCCCTGACCTTTTTATGTGGGTTCTGGGAAGCTGATGTGCAAGGCGGGTGCTTCACCCTCATTCATCCCCTCAGCCCTGATTTTATGAAAAAAGAACAACATTAAATCAGCTTTGCACTTTCCTATCTCCCTCTCAGTTTTTTCCATGCTGAGGATTGAGCTTGCTGTATGCTAAGCCCCTGACCTATACCCATAGTTCCTCTCAAATTTGATTCTAGGTTTCATGATAGAGTGCAAGAGGTGGACAATGGCCAGAGATGGTTAGAGTGATGCAGCCTGTCTCTGGGCAGCTGCTCTGCTGTGGTTTGCCAGGAAAGCTATTGCTTCAAATTAGCATTCCACCTTGAGGGCAGCAGTTAATAGTGAATTCCACGAAAGGCTTATGGGTAGGGGAAGACAGGAGGGTGGGTGTGTCACTGTTGTTTAGGTTTGGCACTTGATTGTGTGTGTAGCAGGTGGACATGATTTCTGGCTATTGAGTAAATTAGTGTTATCAAAATGCCTTATGTGATTACATGGAATGCCTGAGCTGAGACAAATGACAAGAAAAAAATGATTTCTGCTTCAGATGAAGCAATTAGCTGTTTGGATTTTTGCTTGTGCAAATGAACTGTACTTGTGCATGAAATAAATTACATCCACAGTGCTGTTCAGAGTTTTGCATGTTTTCTCTCTCCACAGAACTAAACAGTGTGTGTAGGGGGGGACAGATCTTTGTGTTTGAATATTCCAAGAGGGGAAAGAGTTGATGAAAGAGTTGATTTGATGACATTTTATGAAGGAATTCCTCTCACCTTTTATTTAAAAAGAAAATTAGCACTGTCATGAAAACCCTAAGGAAAAATAACTTCTTTTCCAAAGATACAGAGCACTTACAGGTGGTCTTTTTGTTTGATTTCTGTTTTTTTACCCACTTGAGCTTGAATTTCGATCTAACTTGTCAGCCATTATTTTAAATGTATATGCCTATCTGAAACATGTATGCCTTGTACAGGACCATCCTGAAGCCAAACTGCTGCAGTCTTCCAACTGGGCCTGCCCACCAAACGTCATTACAGCTGGACTTGTTGACTGTCCTACCTTCCCTTTTGGAAGGATGGGGCAGGAGGCTCATGAGACCCTCACCTGATGATCCAGCCACCATCCCGAATCAGTTGTATGTCTTTATAACCCAACTGAATGTGGCCTTGGCATCTCTGGGAGGAGCTGGAGGATAAAGGTTGGGAAGGATGATGGGAGGAGGTTTCATCTATGCAGCTTGCAGAAGCCATCATCCAGTGTGGCTGCTTTAAGGTTACCATGATCTTGCCTGTACCCCCTCACCCACTGCTTTGTAAGCCAGTCTAATAAACTCCCTGGTACCCAGGTGAACTTTGATGGACTCATACCTCAGGTTTTCTTTGGGACTTTAGGAGGAGGAGTTCTTTACTCCTGTTCCCTCAAGTTCCTTGTTTCAGAACTGCAGAAAGAGCCTGGTTTCAGAGCTCGGTCCTCAATACAATGAAAGGCACCCTTGGTTCCTAAAGGTGGCAGGAATCCAACAATGGTTCCTTCCTTTAGGGTACATTAGAATCATACTTGGCATTTTAAAAGTGGCCATTGCTGATTCCTTTCCTCAGGAATTCTGATTAATTCCTGCATCTGAATTTGTGTTTAAACCCCCTGGCTGGCTGATCTCAATGAGGAACAGACATTAACTAGAGACAATAAACTTTACCAGATCCCTGCTGTTGAATGTAAACTAGATTTTTCACCCCCTACAAACAATTTTTCTCATATTTAGAAAGCAGTATTTAGATAATTGTCCTGAGAATCAACAGATAGCCCAAAGGATAAGCTATGAAGAGTTACTATTTTCCCAGAGCTAAAAATATGCTCTAAATTTCTAAAGTAAAATTTAGATGGCCAGGGAGAAAAAAAGAGATGATCATAAAACTCTGTGAGCATCTTTCCTATAAGGAGACAGTAGCAAGCATTGGGCTTTCCTGAAATTACTTGTTAATATTCTTTTTGAAATTATCTACAGACCACATCTCTAGGAGAATGCATAGTCAGATTAACAGAAAAGTGAATTAGTCTCTTAATGTGGGTTGTGTATGTGCATGTCTCTGTGTGTGTGTGTGTGTGTGCACAGTGTGTGTGTGTGTGTGTGTGTGTGTGTGTGTGTGTGTGTAACATGATGCTAAAAAGTATAGGGCTTGGAGTATTTGGGCTTTTCAGATTAGGAATGCTCAACTGGTAAAGATGTTGGAAGTGTTTTTTAGAGTTATTTCTTTTTATTGTATGTGTATGTAGGTGTGTTTTGCCTGCATGTGTGTCTGTCTATGCACCAGAAGTGTGCCTGGTACACTCAGAGGTCAGAAGAGGCCATCAGATCCCCTGGAACTGGAGTTGGAGTTGCAGACTGTTGTGAGCCACCAACCATATGGGTGTTGAGAACCAAACCTGGGTCTTCTGGAAGAGCAGCCAGTGCTCTTAACCTCTGAGCCATCTCCTCAGGCCCTTTACAATGACTCATAAGAACTGAAATACTTCAAATCTAGAGCATTTCAGCACAGGATCCCCAGCCTGTAATGTGAAACAAGCATGACATTTTTTACCCAGTATGATAATGGACTATCCTCTTTGTACATGATTCCCTCTCTCTCAAAATGTGTCCTTACTGTTCAGTGACAATTCCTTGTGTTTCTTAGCATCTATCATTCCATACTTAGCCCATATTTCTGTGTTTTAACCACACATACATTATGCTAGAAGCAGTTGTTTTCCTTCTGATGCCAGCAATGACTTCTCTCCCTTAGCTGGAGCTGCACTGAAGGGAGTGATTCCTTTTCATTGACTTAGATTATTGCCAAAGAAAGGGTTAAAACCACTTGGAACACTGATTCACTAAGCCGATCACAGGGGAATCTTTGTTTAACAGTTCCTATGTTCCTGTGCTGCTGGTAAAACTTCTGATATAAAATGGATGGCTCAGGGCATTGAGTCAGACAATAATATATAAGCCAACCTTATATATTGCAAGTGCCTGCAAGCTATACTAACATCAGTTTTGTTTTATGGTCTGAAGAGAAATGACATGAGACCTTTGCTGAGTTGTTTTGTCTCTCCCCACCCCCAGCAATTCAAAGTAAAGTAAATGGGGTCCCGTTAGTCTCTGGTAACTACCAAATTATCCCCTACTCTGTGACAGCTAAATTATCTCCCAATGTGGGATTTCTGGTAATTTATAAGCCATTTCATTAATGGAAAATTTCACGCTGTAGTAGGAAACAGATAATTTCTTCAGTCAACAGTTGCAGTAAAATAGGAGCATAATGTAAAGCAAGGTACTGAGGGCCAATTTCATTATCACAAAGAAGGAAAGGGTACAGACACCCTTCGTGGTAAGTTCCAACTTCTTCTATAGCATTTTCATTTATTTTCTGGCTCCATTCTTGCCAGATGTGTGCTATGCTCTTGTAACCTCAAGCCTGTCCTTTGCCTCTGACTAGGAGATCGGAATATAATGGTCCACTCTGTATTTGTGGCTCCTTCTCATATGCTCATGTGTTCTGGAATTGTTGTGCAGTTATTTTTCTGCCAAATGCAATCTGTTCAAGGAAATTTTCAGGTAGCCCTTGAGCAGCTAAATTTAGTTAAGTCAATAATTAAATGGGTCTCAGTGAATAAAATGTTTAATGTGCAAGCCTGCAGGAGTACTTTTGGACCTCCAACATCTCATGAAGGTGTAGTAACATGCATTTCTGTAGCATCTGCATTAAGAGAGGGCAGAGACAGGTGGATTCCGGGGGCTTGCTGCAGCCAGTCTAGCCAAAAGGGTCAGCTCTAGGTTCAGAGAGAGACTGTACCTCCAAAAATAAAGTGGAGAGCAATAGAGAAAGACCCAAAATTGACCTCTGATCTCCACACCAATATATATGTGCAGGTGCAGCCCCCAACAAAACACACACACACACACACACACACACACACACACACACAGAGAGAGAGAGAGAGAGAGAGAGAGAGAGAGAGAGAGAGAGAGAGAGCTAATAGTGATTAATCTGTGTAGAATAACCAGGAGAAATAACAGTACAAAACTAAGATTTCCCTTTAAGTAAGGAACATTTTACATGCAGAGAAACTTCGAAAAGATCTTGCAATGAAATTCCCATCTATAATTCCTGAGGATCAGTGTTAGTTCTCCTATCAATGTTCCTTGAGAATTAGTTACTGAAGTTTTTTTCCCCCTGTATTATTTTGGCTGAATTTTATAAGGTACAGAGTCTTCCACAAGATGCCCTACATTTTTTTTTCTTTGCTCCTATGGCAGTAGCCCAGGCTTTCTGCTTTGTGTCCTAGTCTTTAAGGAGAATTAAGCAGCTTGCTGGAGTTAATTGATTCTTACATTAAGACTGAGCAGTAAATCAACTCTGCTTGAATTTTTCTAACATTTTATTGCTATGGCAACAATAGCTCCAAAGTTATTAACTCTTCGTGGTTTATTTCCTCGGACCTAGGCAATGCTCATTGGTTTTCTAATATTTCTTTTCTGGAGCATTGAGTTATTTTTAGTGAAGTTAATATGTACTACAATAGTCCCCCCAGCCCAATGCTGGGTGCATTGCACCACTGTCCTTGTTTTATTCTAATTAATTTGTTTGACAATCTTGTACATGTGTGTAATGCATTGAATTCACACTCATCCCTCCACCCTTTTATCTTCCCACCCAGAGAGGTAGTGGTGTGGCAGCGGCGGGGGGGGGGGGGGGGGGGCGGGGGGG